TAGGTAACAACAATGCCGAGTAAATACGACGTTTCCTAGGTAACCAGGTTACACTTTTTCGTTTCCCTTTTTCGTTCCCCTTTTTTGCCGAATTACCCTTCCTTATAGACGTATTTACGTCAAAAAGATGTTTGAGGCTGGCGTGTATTAGAGTAGCTCCCAGACAAAATGGCCCTTCTAACTGAAATCGAGAACTTTCATATACATCTCCCATAAACTTACATTACAGGGTATCAAAGTCAAAGGAAATTCATGTCTAGATATAATTACAGATCACAGGGTTTCAAAATCATTGCTTTGCAATCTTGGAAGACCACACAATTCATTGGACTACAGAATATAACAGGATGGACATTATTTTAACTATAATTGTAACAGCTTTGACTTCTTGCTTGGTTAAATTTAACGAGGGGATGGCTTAAAACAACAGAAACCAACTAACTACGTTTGTCTGACACGATTTAATGACATTACGTATATTCAAAAACACGTACAACAAATGAATGAGTTAATAAGTCAACGTAAATATGTTCACCATTTTCTTTCGTCCAGCATGTAATAGGCTATCACAATATGGAGACAAAGCGTGTTTTAAAATATATAAAACTACTCAGATAAATATGATTATAAGCTGTGTTATGCTTAACTGAAACTAAACCCTGATACCTTACCCTTATTATAAAAATCACACAATGGTGCTCTTTATGTATGTATGAACAACTGGGATTATTGTGTTGTTAATCAGTTTGAAGGCTTCTCTATTTTATATAAATTAAGCGTCTCTAAAACTGTTTAAATGAAGGTGATCGGTCAAAGAAAAAGGCTGTCTTTTGGGCGATGATAATGACACCTCAAAATGTCGATAAACTTCTGTCAAACTACGCAGCGTAACAACCAAAAACACAGTAATCTTTAAACTAACCGCCGTGAGACATTGAAATCTCACAGATGAGTAAAAATTCACTGTTGATAAAGGTTAGAGTGTCTCTTACTCTAAAAAAATAATACTACAATACGTTTCCAACGCTGGATGTTGGTAATCAGAACACGTAACACGAATGTAAAATGGTTATCTGTCTGAAAATAACGTGTAGCCTATTTTTAAATAAGGTAAACACTAATGAAATGAATTTATCTCTGGATGGCATCCATGCTATTATCTGAACCCATCACGATTCATAACCTTCAAAACGTTCGCATTTCTCACTTAAATTTTAGTTTCTTGTTAAATGGGATTCTAAATTTATTAGTAAAAACACGTAATCTGTATTTCCACTCGAAAGGGTTATAATATTTTAATAAAACAAGACATATTGAGCTCACAATTAAAAGTCTAAATGAATGTAGGCGCTTGAGACACGATTTTAATTTTTAAAGAACGTTATAAGTAATTACAAACTCCCACTCACGGATAACTGTATACGATCCACGGACCACATATGATTTCTCGGTTTTAGCTTGCGTCTTCCTGACATGCAGCTTCGTTAAGTGAAACAGAGTTATTAAATAACCAAAGATTCAATTAAGCATTACATTCAGTAAACACTTATCGAAAATTATTTATAATTTATCACGAATTTATTTCAAGACTTATAAGGAAAACTTTACTTGGGCAAAACACAGTCCAGCAAAAAGAGTTTTCTTCTGTAAAAGAATAGTCCGCTGAAAGGAAGGCAGTCCAATTCGACAAGTTGCTCATTACAAAGACGCCATCTTGAAGACTGTACTAGTAGCCAATTTACAAAATGGATGAGCAATTGGACGGTCGCGAACCGGATTATCCGAGCCTTGGAGTAAAGACCAGAGGATAAAAACGTTTTCCTTATTAGATCAACGCTAAATAAAGGCGATTAAGAAAAGTACCAGATGCTGTTAGTTATCCGTCTAGTGGCGAGTCGGATAATAAAACTACGAAAGTAGACCCATTTCGAAAGTCGAATAACTACAATCGACCCTCTTCAAATTACGATTAAATCAGCCACAAAATTCCGGAATCCTCTTCTTCATTTCAGGTTGTTCTCAGCAAATCTTCAACACCCTGAGAACCTCAAATTTCGAATACATTACAGATCATAAAAGCATAATTTCTTTAATCGTTTGGTTTTAAAAGAGAATTAGCCGTGTAGGATTTGAGGTTTTTACGGCGGTGAGTACGAAGATGGCTGTCTTCTGGGTTATAGCGCCGTGTAGTCTGGTACAAGTTTACCAATGTTTAAGAGATTCTTGCTACCTCCATCATCGCCCTGATAATAGAGGTCAAATGGACCTCTGAAATGTTTGTAAACATCTACCAGACTACACGGCGCAACAACCCAGAAGACAGCAATCTTATTCTTCATGTTTTCCGACTAAGTTATATATACATTTATCATGTCCGCCTTGTGTTCTACATGACCCATTCATTTCTAATTTAATCATCATAATAAAATGTAAAGAACATAACGTATAATACATATCTCATGAATCTCTACAACATTTATTTAAAATTCCTTGGATAAATCTATATATATCAAAGTCCATACTGAGAAACTATTAATCACTGACCTAATCTAGCAATTTTACTTCCGTTATTGAAAACGATGGTTCATAACTTATTCAAAAAAGCCTCCTACTGGTCCCGAACTTCAGCCATATCTGCTCATTTCACATACCGAAACCATATTTTGTTTCCTTGTTCCATTTTAATAGTATCAATATTATCCATCCACCTACATCGAGATATCTCATATGCTTTATTCCTTTTAATGCATTTGAACCAAAATTTTGTAAACATTTTCTATCAGTACCATGATTGCTGCATGCCACGCCCCCCTGATCACCCTAATAATATCCGGTAAATAGAAAAATTATTAAATTTCTCATTACAAAAATTTCTCCATTCTTCTGTTACTTCATCCCTCGGAGGTCTAAGTATTCATTACTCCGTTCACAAACACCCTCAATTTATGTCCTTCCCTTAACGTGAAATACAAAGTTTTAAATTAAGATGGCTGTCTTCTGCGTTGTTGGACCGTACAGAAGTTTATTGACGTTCCAGAAGTGCTTGCTGCTTACATCATCATCAGCAAACCGTCTGAAATGTCGGTAAACGTCTACCAGACAACACTGCTCCACAACTCAGAAGACAGGCATATTCATTATCGCCACCTTCAAAACCTGAAATCTTACCTTCAATATATATTTCTCCTTATTCACCCAACACGCATTTTTAAACTGTGAATCTACGTCACTATCAGTCTCATGATCTTCGTATAATGTTGTCTTCTCTGTCTGAAACTAGCATAACAAAGACATTTATTTAACTAGGCTAGACGCTTCCCTGTCCCTGATGTAGACGGAGACAGAACTATTCCAGACGGCGGGTAGAGATTGCGTTTCATCTTATCTGATCTGCCGGTGTAGCCTACAGAACATCGCTAAACCCATTCTGTCCGAAGTTCTACTTATTTTGCCTTTGAATGTGTATATATTCAAATACAATGTGTTTCCTGTACTGAAAAGACCTTTTCGTGTTGAACAGGGCATAGTGCATCAGCATTCTATCCGTTCCCAACACTCAATAAACAAGTACATTAGGTTATGGAGGGACCCTAGTTACTATGCGGGGTGAAGGGAGCAGAGGCGAGTAGAATTTGAATGGGACGACTCACTGAGGTCTTCCAAGTTGCTGCTATAGTGGGTCTGTTAGCTAGTTCCTGCCAAACACCCGGTTGATTCATTTATACTAGCAGAACATTAGTTTTTACTGAGTAAAATTATATTAACGTATGAATAAAATTATAATTTTCAACGACAATATTAAATATTTATATGCACTGAGTCAGATCAAACTTTGATCTAGATGTATTGATCATCTGGTTTGCTTATGAAGGAGGGTTTTTGATTAACATAATTTTCGTTTTCTTAATAGTGTGACCCTGTATAGATGTGGAATTAAATTGTCGGATGATCACTTTGCATAAAAGGCTTTAGTTTATCAAGATTATGGAAAGATTTATCAAATTTTACATTCTCCATCTGAAGCCAAGGCTTGTATAAGAACTCAGCCCGTACCTAAAAGAAAACACTGCACTTCGCCATTACAAAGAATAGTTGGTTAATGTTTACGGAATGTAACCCTGTTTGCATCGGGAATCATACGAGACCCATAAATACAAAACGCATATTTACTTATTGTCAAAGCAGATGGTAAATATTGTTACTACCAGGGTTTGAAGGGTTAACAGCAGTCAGTACAATTGCTTTACATCTTCATACTGGAAATGTGTCGAGACTATTAACTGATAAGGCTTACACGTAAACAAAAACATAACAGGTGGCGTATGACCGAATTACGATAAATATCGTTTGGCTTTGGTCACCTACTCGATTGACATTTGAATAGGAAACGTCTCCTTACAAACCTCGAGAGATAAGTATTGCATCAAGTCAGTGTTTAAACAAGTTAATGAGCCAAGGTCACAAAACGTAGTTAAACATCGTAAACATCGTAAAAGTTACAGTAGCCTGCATCAAACTGTGTGTTTCGCTTAAGTCATTAGCCTCCGGGTAAAATAATAACAAACGCATATATACTATTCATATCAAAGACATTACGGATATAATAACTGAGACAGCAACATATAAAGTTCCTACAGCTTTGAAATAATGTTTACAGTATGGATAGTCTGCTACCCGTCCCGTCCCGCCCCTTTGATCACATTGCATTTTACATCTAACGAACGTTAAAAGCAGAGATTCACCTCAACTACTGTATCATGTATTTATCTTGTTTCTTAATTCGTTACTGAAAGAAGGAAGTGTTGAAAATAAAATAGGTTTTTATGCTTTATAAATATGAAGAGCTTATCTATCGTTTTCTGTTCTGTAAGAAAGGGTAACATCGTTTTGCTCACTTCGTTTAGTAATCTACCCTCTACACAAAGCTGCATTTTCCACACAGTGTCAATTAAGACGTTTATATATATATATATATATCTTTCGTTAAATTGGTAACTTACTTTTTTGAAGTCAGAAGTCTACGGGGATCATCAAATGCTCTCGGACGTTTCACTGAACCACTTGTTACATAGTTGCTTCTACGTGAAGACTGTCGCCTGCCTTGTGAAAGTTTTTAGCGGTTCCAAAACTCTAAATGGTAAAGACATTCCACTCACTTGCATTAGTGTTCCGCTTCCGGTGTCACAACTACAAGGTTTCAGGTATGCTACAAATTTACATAAATAATTGTATAGTCGCATGTTTAGACATTAGTTCGTGATCGACAGTTTTATTCATAATGTGTTATGTTTTGTTTTAATATGCCTGCATACTTATAGAACAAGGATTTGTACGTAAATGCATATTTATGGCCATATATGGTTCCGTCTGTTTCGTAAGGCGACATTTTGTAATGTGCTGCCATCTAGATAAGACATCTGAAAGACTGCGCGGCGTCTATTTGTTTTCTTCATTGCTTTCATTTACTTAATTATCTGTACAATTAGACGTATTTTATACACTGTTCCTTTTGCCCGGCCCATTTAATACCAACAACACTCATGGATATAATTAAAACAACATAATTATGGCCTCACAGAATACAGATACTCACAAAATATTAACGGCATCACAAGATAAGAATAGCGTTAATGATAGTAATTAATTCTGATACGACATTGTTCATTTTGATCAATATACTTAAGATATAAACTCGAATCTGGAATGGACCTAACTCGCTGTTGTTACATCGTGATACAGATGCATGCCCCACGAAGACTTATTAAAAAGTTTGGCGAATGACGTCACCCTAACAGGACGCATGGGAATGGGATAATTGTGACAGGTGGCGCGCGTGACGGGAACTTTCTCATGCTCAGAGGATTTTGACCTTGCAGCTATACTGTCACAGCACGTGTCTGTTGCGTTTGGCGTGCGTGTTTGAAAATTTATGAGAATTTTGCAATGTGCAAACAAAATTAAGTACCAAAACTTGAAAAAAAAAGCTGCAAAAACTACAAATGTTCTTAACAACTTACGGAATTGATAGTGGGACAAAAAGGCTAGTTTAATGTCAACTGCGTTCTTCAACGTGGAAGGAATTGCTCAATATAAATATGTTCCCAGGAGTCAAAAGATTAATTCTACATTTTTCGAAAGGAGTTTTGCAACGTTTGAAAGTGACTGTCTAACGGAAGAGACAGGAGAAATGGCGGAATGGTTGGTTGATCCACATTCAACAGCCAGATAGTGACGTATAAAAATATTTTCGTGTTTTTGAAACCAGCCTTCTCTCTCAATATCACCCAGTGTCTTACTGGCTGATCCCAAGATTCGGTGAAACAATGACAGGGAAGCAATATGACACTACTAAAGTCATTAACAGCACGTTAGGCCGTCTGCAGGCGATTCCGAAAGAAGACTTCCAGATGTGTCTCAATCAACAGAAGGAGTATAAGACATTTGTGAGTGTTCTGATGGGGAGGGATTAATTACAAAGTAGGTATTCGATCACTCGCCAGACTTTTGATCAAGCCTTAGACCGTATATCGTGGAACCCAAACACTTTCATTATCTTCAATATTACGTTTTCATTAATTTAAGTACCATTGCGATTATAATATTTTTCATTTTTTACATTTCTTGCAGTGAAACAGGAAAATTATAGCAGTGGATACTTTTAGTAACAATTAGGGCTTACTATAAATCCCTCAGCAAATACTAGTTGCTGCTGGGCATGGTACGTTATATTACTTTAGATTACGATAGGTTTTAATAATAATTACAATTAATTGAAAAAATACAGTTTAAAATTATTATTAGGCCTTCCCAAAAACGGTTGTCCATCCATTTGTAAGCATTTTCTTCTGTTTAATTCAATTATATCTTTCATTTTTCTTTTATATTTTACCAAGGAATATACGGTAGAAAGTTATTGTTATTGCCGACAGCACTAAATTCTAAATTCTAAACACTATTCGTGTCAGAATTTCGGGTTTCTAACGAACGTTGTCGTGATTTTTTAATTGTTCTTTGAGAATATCGATTTCGTATTTTTACTGTGCATACAGAGTGTCCCAAAAGTTCTCGACCACAGGAGTACTCTATTATTTAGCAAAATATAGGAACTTGTAGGGGTTATAATGGTTGCTAGTCATCTGTTTGCTATCCCAGTTGTTGGAATTTTTATTTAGGATGAACCGTTACGGCATTACACTCTTTAATTACAAGCAGTAAATTTTATAACCATGTTGCCGCGTTGACATAATGGGGGATGTGTTTTCAGAATAGTTGAAAGCGGTAGCGTAGGAGATACAGGCACAACAGAAAACATAAAGTAAACAAAAACGCAACGAATAGCGAACTGTAATCTAAACGTGGCAACATAGCCTTAACACTTTACTAAAGTTATGTTAAGAGCACTGAGTCTTAAAGGCTGATCTTGGTGAAAAAATTCCATCACTTGAAATTTTAAATATGTGATTTGTAATATTTCTCCCCTATTTACATTTTTCGTATTTTGTCAAATAGCCTAATATTCTGAATTTATGGGACACTGTGTATATGAGAGATTTATTCATAATATACAAATTTTATCGTCACCCCAATTTTTATTACGGGCCGTATTTTGACAGACCCTAGTATGTACATCTGTAAGGCGTTCACTCATTGTTGTTAAACGCGACTAAAAGAAATCGGCTACTCAAGTATTTAAGATACCTCATCAGTAAAGTTAGAAGAAGATGAAAACTGTAATTATCCAGTGGCTAATAACACGAACATTAAACATAACTCTGAAGAAGATTAGTACAAGAGAAATGCTAATACAGTCTACGAAGCTGAAAGCAGAAAATTATATAGTTTCATCAAGTTTAAATTTTTGTATGATGACTGTGGTGTTGTGGTGGGGAGTCGGGAGGTATAATGCTGGTAGCAGAACTCACAAGCTATAAATAACGTCACAAAATGGAAGTCGTGGTCGGCAAAGTATAGAAATTTAGTTTGCATTTAGCTAGAACAGTATGAGCGTTACCCAAGCCATCCTTTTGGTTAAAATATATATCATAGGCTTTTAGTATTGTGCATGCACTGTCTACGGGTTTGTAGTAGAAGGCTGTGATGGTGGTAGCACTGTAATTGCCTTATTTAAAAAAGAATTATTGGGTTGGCTAAATTCCAGCATATAAAATACGCTGCTAGACTTACAGTGTAATGGCAGGTTGAATGTTCACTACTTTTGTTATACTTGGAAATTATATTTGTCTCTTCTTGTTCAGACTTTATGTGTTATGATCAGTAATTTAAAAAATGGACATTACATACAGTTTTAAATAAACTTATACGTTATGCCAATAGTTTCAGTTGAGTTTACCTTATAGCATGAAACATAAATATCTTTTAATTTCTACATAAGGATATTGTTTTAATGTTCCAGCCAGATATAGTTCAGTGTTGAAAGTTAGGTTAGGTTCCTAAAAGACGAGATACATCATCGACTACCCGTCATTTGAAAATTATCTTCTACCGTTTACATGGAAAAAATCTGAGAACGAAGTAACCGATAGTTATTTAATTTAATATTGGAAAATTTTAAGACAGATTGTCAAACAGTTTCATCTTTTGTTTATATCGGAAAATTTTAACTAAACTTTGCATGGGGGAATAAATAATGTTTTGACTTCATCACAGATGTTTACAAAATTTATGTATAATTAACATCCCTTATTTTTATTAGATAAACATGAAAAATAAATTGTGTATATAGATTTTAGCTTACAAGAGAAAAATCCACTACATAATTAATTTAAATTTATTATTATGATCCTGCGCAATTTAGTTCAAATTTTGTCCCCTATTTGGCGACACATTACTTTTTCCATCACGAGAATTACTAACTATTCTTTTAAGCCAAATCTCGTTGAAATAATAGTTACAATTCAGTCCCTACCTCAAACAATGCATAAGTAATTTACAGTATGAAGATCAATTGCTTAATGATAATGCAATTGCTCGGGTGATGGTCGTCGTATTCTAAATCCTTCGGCCTTGCTTCGCGTTCAGGTTGGTCCAATGGGTGTAATAAGTGACATTGGAATAGGTTTTTCTCAGATTTCTCCAATATTTGTCTTTCAGTATCATTTTACCGCTATTCAATATTCGATCTTGTACCATGGATGAATGGACAAGTGAGAAATAATTCATTTCGTGCCTTTGAAGCATATTTTGTGACTCTCGGCTTACATTTTTCTTAAATATATTGCTAGATATTCAAAGAAAACTTGACGTTTGGCTTGTTGCAAAGAGATTTCAGAGTAAATGTTGACTATAAATAATAAAATGGAGATATATGTTAACATTTAAGTAAATGTGAAACAGTATTCTTAAGCCACTGTTACTTTTGTTATTATTGTTAACTCATTATCACTATATTACAGTTTATGTCACTTCAAGTGATCCTATCCGAATTTATTTATGTTGCCATCATGCCTACCCCACACCACCAACAGCTAACGTTATAATTTATTGTCCCAAAACGTTTAGTAGGGATGTTTGTTGTGTATCTGCCATAAAACATTCGTGTAACAGCTGAGAGAACATTCCACACAGGCGAATGTCCATAGAAATAGTGAAATATTAACAAAAAATTACTGGATGTATTGCTATTCAAGTAGCTAGGCTTTTGTGATTTGTCTTCTAAAGTTTTTTTAACACAACCACACACTAAAACAAAAACCGATGTACAAAACTGTACTCGTGAATCTTACTTGTAACAAGTTTTAATTGTATAATTCTTTCGAGTAAAAATATTTCAATTTTTTAATTCTTGCGTAGTTACGTAATTGTTGTATAATTCTTTCGAGTAAAAATATTTAAATTTTTTTAATTATTTCGTAGTTACGTAATTGTTCTTACTGAGACCAAATATTGTAAATTAATTTTTAATTTTCGTTTAAACCATATAGACCCCGGTTAATCTGGAATCCGCTGCATTTTTATCCGTCCTGAATTTAAAATCTAAGATTGTACATTTAAGTGTTATAAAATTACTGAGTCGACTAAATTTAAGGCCCTAAATGATTTATCACAAATAATTAACTTGCGACAAAACTAGTGGTAATTCATAGCCCTTGATCTCATTTTACACCAGATAGAAAGGGCATAATTTATAACTTTAAATGACCTTGAATTGATAGATGAAGTCACCACGCTTAAAACACTCCAAAAGAACAGCATTTAATAACACCGAAATTCTAAATATTTCAATCGAGACTTTTCTGGTTCAATTTCTACGCTGGGCCACTGACTGTCGTAACTAAAATACCTTGTGGTTCTCCTAGCCTCTGCAGGGAACAGCAGTAATTAAAACAGCATCGTTAAACAACTATAAATCAGTAAATCACACGGCGTGTCAAAGGAAATTTTATCCGTCTTCCTTTTCAAAATCGGTTCGTAATACATTGAGGTATGTCACATGTTCAAAGTAAATCTTAACCGTTACACGCCATGGAGACGCTTGCAGGGAGAGGTAAGCCCCTACTCGTTTTTAACATAATCTTTAACCGGCGAAAGGGCCCACGGTACCCATTAGATACAGACTGGGCGTGCCCCAGAATCGGTCTATACTCAGAGGCTAGAAGAAAAATAATTTGCCCTACCGGGGATCAAACCCCGATCATCCAACCCGTAGTGATACACTGAGTCAACTACGCATGTGGAATGTTATACTAGCAAAGTTGACGTTTTAATTACATATTTGGATATTTCTGTATATTTGAGGAGATAAATTTAAAAATTTATCAGATGCCTAATTATTGACGTTGAAAAATTTCGTAACAAGATGATGCTTTCAATTTGAGTCCTTCATATTTTATTCCCATTATCTCAAAGCAAGAGATTTTATCCTAACTTAGTGTATCACTGACGGTTATTCGCTGATGTATTAGTGTTCATAAATATTAACAGTTTAACTGTTAGATAATATTTATGGCGTCTACACTGTAATGAATAGTTCTTCTGAATTAATAACAATACAATATCTCCAAGGAGGGCTTATCAGAGTAAAAACTAGTTGAATAATAAACAAATATATGATTTTACTGCTTTGACGTTTATTGTAACGAGTTGCATTTGACTGTTTTGATTAAATCATTAGAAAGACGTGGAATAAAGTTTAATGCGTTTTAAAATTATAAGAAGGATTCTTAAACTGTTATTGGAAAATTCAAGAAGGGCTTAAGGAGATGAATTATACGACAAACTAACACGAAGTTAAAAGGCGTTCTTAATTCTTTAGTTTGCATAAATGATGCCATAAACGAGTAACGAATGATGTTACAACATATTGTTTGGGTTTAGACTTTCTATCAAACCCGTTAGTACCGAGCTATAGTACAATTGCAACACATTCTATGGAGTGATTTTTATAAGGAACATAGGAAAAGTGGAAAATTTAACTGAACGTAATGTTACTGTTATCCATGGAAAATAGTATAAATTTCCAAGATTTTACATCTATAATAAGACAATATTTCAATATTCTTGTAGACAATTATCCACATATTTCACAGAGAATGTTGTAACATTGGTATAATATTTCGTACATTAAGAATAATTCAGTTTATTTCTTTAAATATTTATGGCGACTGAGCGATAACTGTAATATTCTTTCAAACAATTACAATTTAATACTTTTAAAGACACATATTTAAAAATTAACTTTTAGCTGTATTTCTAATTACTTTTTTCTCTTCGTTGACATGGAAAACAGGAAATATAATTTTGTCCGGTTAATGTAGCTTTTAACACCGTGTACAACACCATATTGGAACACATATAGGACACAGAACATTTGGCAGTGCTGGGCTCCTTAAACGTAACACCTCGCACCATAATAAGAAAGTAAATTCACTTTGTTCCACCGCTACAAAGGCAAAAATCATGTCATTTCCTAACCTCAACTCACTCGCATTGTTTACGTCACTCCCAGAAGCCTTATTCTCACAAACAGATGAATGTTCTATACGACGCATTAATCCATTCTGTTTTCATATTATTCAAATATAAATTTCCGTTAAACGGAGTCTTTAAAATAGTCTATTTGAACTGGCAGTTGGTGAGTGATATTCAATTTAATCTCTATACAAAATTTACCAACATTACCTTTCTGAATAATTCATATAGGCAAAAAATTATCACGTGACAAGTAATCCTCACCTCTGACATAATATAGACAATAGAGAGACAATCAGAAAGGTTGCAGAGGGAGAAAAAGATGTTTTCTTGCAACCAGAGTCCGTTGGTCCTTTAGAAGCCTCAAGGTTCCCCCTCGTTACCTGCTCGTGGCATCGGCCGATGGAGTCCAGATCCAAGTCACTCATCAATTTGCCGTTCACTTCTAGAGGAGATATACAGTAATTCTTACTTCTGAAATCGGTTCCGGTGGTGTCGTTAGCTAAAGGACTCTCAAGAAGTGTGTGTATATGACAGTCACATGGAAAATGGTTATCAATTACATTCAACTTTTCGACACCCTGAATTATTATAGCACCAGGTAGAGGTGTCTCCAGTAGATGGTTGCCATGTAATTGTAACATTTTTATACGATTAATAGGTTTTAACTTCAGTTCTTGAATTGCGTCTATCTTATTATTCTTTAGACTCAAGATTCCAATTTGAGTCATGCCTTCAAATGCATCGGCACGGATAATACCTAAGTCAGAATCCTGTATCGATAAAATATGGACGTGGCTGAGCCCTCGGAAGGTGTGAGGCTTCAGAGAGGAGAGGTCCATGAAGGCCAGCTTCAGAAAGCTAACTGTGTCGAGGCCACTGAAGGAATCAGGTTCCACTGCGCGGATGCCAGAAGGGAAGATGAGACGTTCCACGTTGGACAAGCCAGAGAAAGCCGAACTGTCCACTCGGTGAAGTGGATTGTTGTTCAGGAGAAGCAGACGAACGTTGGACGTCCCAGCAAACGCGTAACCTTCAACACGTTGTATCCGGTTGTGTCCTAAGAGTATTGTTGAAATATTCTGGAGACCGGCAAAGGAAAATTGGGCAATTGTTGTGAGAGGAGTATGTTGTATTGAGAGTTCTCGGAGGCGAGGAAGACCACGAAAAGCGAAAGGTTTGATGATTGAAATGTTGTTTCCGTCCAGAGAAAGCTTTTTTAATCCACGGAGTCCAGCAAAAGCGTCACTTTTTATGATTGGGAAGTGGTTCTTCGTTAGAGACAGGTGTTCCACTGTGGAAGGCAGTGACTTGATGGGGATCTCTGTTAGACCGCCAGTGTTGCACAGCACCTGCGGTACAACATACATTATGAGCAGTGTCTGGTCAGGTCTGGTTCAGAATTTAATTTACTTTAACATAAATTTCAAAAGTCAACTTTTGACATTTCAAGTAGCATCCTTTCAGAAGATTTTCAAATAAAAATTATATATAATAATTACAATCATTTAAATAACATCACGAATTGGCTGTTCACTGTACTTTGAGACACTGAAACTAAATTAAGAGTGTTATTAAAACTTCTTCTTCTTTATTACGCCGTCTCCTTTACAGGAGGTTGGCGACATATTATGAACGGGATCCTTCCATCCTTTTCTCGGACTGGGACCTGTTCATATACGTTCTTGGCAGATGATCCAGAAGTGGTTTGCCATTGCCTTCTTCTGTGTGTATGGAGTATGGAGTAATTGTTGGGATGCCACGGAGAAACCGGGGAAGCCCCCGGAGGAAAACTCCGTGTTGCCTAGACCACTGCCTTGTCCAACACAAGTTATAAATTCGGGTACCGCCGGGAATTGAACCCGGGACCCCAGGATTACAAGGCCAGGAGAATATTATTATGATAGAAGAATAGTTGATAAGGAAACTTATCTGATATTTGCCATTCTTTGGTGAGACATGTAAGACAACACGTTTAAACAACTTGATATAAAAATAAAATTTATTGACATCTTGTATCGGTACAAGACCTAGTATCTCACGCTTAGTGAACGAACACGAGTTTCATAACAAAAAAGTGCAAAGGACAAAGAGAACGAGAAAAAAACTAGAGTAAATTACATTAGGTAGAGCTTCAGACGTTGTACTCATTACGCATTAGGCCTATATTTAAGGTTTATACAACGGATGAAAATGAAATGGGCGTAGTAATACGGGTAAGAAAGGAAGAAATTTTTTTAAAAGTCTGGAAGTGAAATAAAATGAAGACTAGAATGAGATCATAATATTAAAATGACAGCAAATGCATTGATATTAATATATTTTACTTTCACAATGTACGGTCCAATGTTCCATAACTGTGACATTGTGTAACACTTGAGAGTAAAAGCCAGGAATTAATTAATTAATTATTCAGTCGCATACCAACAAAAACTGTTATTTTATATAAAATTAAAAGTAACTGAGGCAATATTATATTAACTTAAAATTCGTCTTCAGTTTGTAATATAAAGAACAAAATTTCTGTAAGCCTGGCGTGAAAAATTTTATCCGAAACGTGGTAGCAGTGAAAGGATGCTAGTTTAAAATAATAAATTAAACTTGTGTAACCACTGCAGAAACCACAGTTACACGTAAGAACGTGATGCAACAACCCAAATTTATGACTGTAAGAATAAATTACTATTTAAAGTTACATTACAATAAATGAATTGAATTGAAATTAATTACTCCTATAATAATATTATAAATATATGTCAAAATATTATTATTGAAATTATCCTATAAATGACACACAAATAACAATAAGAATTTATATAAAGTAAAACATCTAAAGGGAGTAATCATATATCTTATACATGGCATGCAAATAAAAATGTATGACAATAGCCTATAAATGTTATGAGACGTATACTGTTTCATCTATTTTTTAAAGTACAATACAGTTAAAGAAAGTGAGCAACATTGATTATAAAATAATCCATTAGACTAACACCAAACATAAAAGAACACACAACAAGCAAAATGCATGAGACAAAGACAAGACGCAAGATTCAACTTTTATACAGACAACAGACAATCAATGACATTGTAGAGTTTCACATTGTTGTGTGGCTTTGAAGAAGTAAAATGGAAACATTAGGACGGAGTACATTGATGAAGGCAACATCAGACATTTAACGAAGAGAGATCTAAATACTATAGCGGTTTGTAGCACTAAAAGTGTAAAAGACACGTTTAGGCTAATCAAATTAATCCCTAGACATCTTTACCTCGAAAGAATATGTCTAGGTACAAAATTCAAACGTCTAGCTAGAAAAATGTAATTCTAAATTATGTCCAGATACAATTTTTTCTGTTTATTATTTTAATATTTACATAATACGAGCTTTTTCCTATAATACAGATAGTACACTAATTGTTTTAAATTTTACTGTAACATTGTTCATAAACAGGATGGCAAATTAAAAAAATTAACCACATCTGAGGTTATATGGTCAGATTCATAATTCGTGCTAGTTGAATATTCATATCTTTTCACCTGAAACGCCAAATTTCACACCGAGGCGTGACGCTGACCCCATCTGGTGGTGAGGTTAAGAATGAATAGGAGCTATACCTAACCTCACTCCCAAGCGCCTACATGGCGTGTAGTGGGACAGCTTTGCTTTACTTTAGAAATGAAGCTTAAACCGAACTTAAACGACATTAGAATAAGTTAAAAATATATGCATAGTTTAATATATCTGGCCACAATTTGATCGTTAATTATACAAGTGACATCATAGTTTTCTGGGGATCAGTGAATGATTCATGAAAGAGATTCCGTGGTATAATTACTGAGGCTTCAGCTATGTAATTGCTTAGTTACCTACAGGTTCCTTCAAGTGAGGATTCTCCGTGGAATCATATTGGCGCGCAAAATCTGAAGCAGCTATTTATGTAAAGTGTCTATTATTGTTACTTCAACCAAAACAATGACGAGTCGATAAATTTTACTGAAACTCGAGAAATAAAATTTTGTTAAATTCTGTTCAGTTGTTGCATGCAGACAGACATGGAAAATCTAACAAGTGAGGTTTTTTAGAATTCAATCCTGAACAGGTCTAAAATGGCTCACCTAACAAAACATGCAGATTATTATAATTCAATAATATATTTTATTTGTTTATAGTTTATTTATCTCGTCGTCAATAGCTCGCGATTCATTGTGTCCAATGGTAGAAAAAACTAATGAATAATGAATTAATCTGAGAAAATATTGAAAGAATAATTTGTGCCCTAATTTAAGGCATTTGCCTGAAGGAATTTTGGAAGAGTGAAAGCTAAAATTTCGGTCGCGACGTTCCATGATAAACTGATGTCGTTTTAGAAATTTCGTTTGTTCTACTGTAGATGACTCAAACCACGAGACATACAAGATACGTGACATGATACACACTTTTTCTTAGGACCCTCCACCCCTCGTCGCAAGATACGTGACATGATACACACTTTTCTTAGAACCCTCCACCCCTCGTCACTCACCGAAAGCTTTTCGCTAGTACCTTGGATATTTGTAAGACTTTCTTCACCCTTGGGGCCAACATGTGAGATGTTATGACGTATGTATGATGCGCATCCATTCAACTAACAGCTTCTAACGGCGACTTGCCCAACTACAACACATCTGCCACCTGTCACTGGCCATCAAAAACTCAACTTCGTCACAGTTGAGAACAAGTTCCAAGCGTCGTGCGTAAAAGAGGAACAAAGTGTCAGAAAATATGTCGATGGAGAACGTTAGAATACTTTGGTCCTTGGTTCCAATAATGTGCAGGGAGAGACATTTTTTTATTGTTTTTATTACCATTTATCGTTCTAATTGTTGTCATAATTTTAAAAGCTCAGACCTCATTGAGAAGCTAACAGTCGCTGAGTTTTTAAATAAATTAACCACCTATTATAGCTGATATGGAATCCAATATTGCATTACGGTGTTAACAAAAGACTGACGTTTGACCGAACAGGAGCTAAGCATGCAGAGAAAAATATTTAAACTTCAGATGAAAAAGTAACAGGAGACAAAGGTTTTACAATTTGAATATGACATTAAATAATATTACTGTATTAAAATCAAGATATGATATATATGTTAACAAAAGACTGACGTTTGACCGAACAGGAGCTAAGCATGCAGAGAAAAATATTTAAACTTCAGATGAAAAAGTAACAGGAGACAAAGGTTTTACAATTTGAATATGACATTAAATAATATTACTGTATTAAAATCAAGGAACATGATATACGGGGCATGAGATATACGAAGATTACATTTATAATTATAATCGGAAAGAGATAAATTCAAAGACATGGGCGTCAGTGAAAGGATAATATTAAAATGGATGTTACAAACCAGGATATGAGGACGCTGATCAGGTTTATCTGACAGAGGTTAGGGACTACACATAAGCTCTTATAGAACACGGTAATAAACCTTCAATAAAAGGCTAAATATTTTTTGTTTAATCTGAGTGACTACTAGCTTCTGAAGAAAAATATACACTGTCGAGTACATAACTGGTTCACATAAAATTCTTCTGTCTTCCTGTGAACCAAGTCTCATACAGTTTTGTGACGTATGGTTTAAATTTACGATCTTAACTTATCGTTCGATTAAAAGTGAAGAAAGAATTAAACAGGTAGACTTAATGGATAATAACAAAATAGCTATACATAGATCTCAAATTTATTTAAGATTCTTCCAATTTTCGGTAAAAGGCTATATTTATTTCTTACCTTTATGTTACTTTAAACAAATATGTAATTCCAAAGAATTTTGTTTTTGAAGTTTCGACTCATCGTAGTTGTTAACTCGATTCAGTCTGTGAACGGAAATTGAAAATGCATGACGCTACTGTAATCGATCTATTCATTGTATTAAAACGTATGAGAATTCCATGAAATGGAGTAAAGCGAATGCTTTGTAATGAGAAGTTCATCAGTGTGTAAGAAACGCTATACATTGTTTATAGAACAAACTATATAGTTTCATTAAGACGTCTTGAAAGCGAACCATTAAAACTTTGATGCGACAGTCGAAACACGTCGCTGCGATATGAAAATTGTACTTAGGTTTTTTCACTGAAAGTAAACGTCTGTCCGACTCAGTGTTATTAGCGGCATTGTCTAAACAATTCTGATGAAATTAAATATTTAGAACTCTAATTGAAATTACACTTTTATTGTACGTAATCTCATAGAGCAGTGAGGGATGCCACTCTACACAAAACTAACATAAACATTTCTGTTTAATTCGATAAATATTTGAGAAATTTAAGTTGGGCATTAGATCAAAGATTTGGTGATTGGC